TATGCATGAAAATACCAACAACTGTGCTGTCATGAGCTAAAGGATAAATCTGAAACTATTTTAAATTTAAATTTGAATCTACTTTTAAATATGAAGATCTGATGATAGGTAAGATTGGTTAGAAGACATGATGGGAACAATTAACATAGTCAAAAAGAGTAGCTATGCTTTCATGTTTTAACCTCAGTTTGATGTAGAAAAAAATAATTATTTTCTTATCAAGGTAACCTTCACTGGGAGAGGTAGTAACTGAAATACCTAGTATACAGCAGTTATAGCGATTATATTGTAGATTGAATTCAATGTGTTTTGGTCAAAAATTTAATCAGAATTTTCTAGAGTGGCATTTATGTTCTTCAATGAGTGAATAAGGCAAGTCTGTTTAAATTATATGTATAATAGTGCAATACAATCTGTTTCAAAATTTCCCCATTTTTAATATATATTCTACAGTTTTACTAAAGGTCTTATAAAATATAAAAATAAAATATTATTATAAAATATAAAACTGGGTAGTATTTTGGTATTCTTCCAGTGGTAAAGACAGAAATCTCAAATAAAAAGAAGTTATATGCCTTACACATGAAGGAAGGCACTGCTTTCCTGATACCACTCCTCAGGCCTAAGAAGCCTTAGAATATAAATTAAAAGAAATAGTTATATAGGATCAGCCCTCATTCTCCACTCAGTTCTGCAGCCCATCTCAGCAATAGTCAAGCCCAGATGTCACAAAAGATGACAGAAGAAAACTCAAAGAGAACAGACATGGGATCACCAACTTCTGAAGACTTGCAATCCCTAGTAATCAAAGATGGTCTTCAGTCTAGAAGTATATCGTTTTATATCCTGTCCTCTTATTTTCTTTTCTAATTGGTCCTTTCAGCTTATAGAATTTTCCTGTATTCTTGGAAGGCTAGAGAAGAATGACTGAAGGAGGTAAAAAGCTTCTGCAGAGAACTGTTAAAATGTTAGAAACATCAGTTACCAGAAAATCATAAAAAATTGGAGGACTGAAAGAGTTTCTTAAATTGAAAGCTACATGATGCAGCAGAGGCACCATAAGCTGGACAGAAATTCAAGTTCAGGAATAAGGCAGACAGCCTGGAAATGCAACTGAAAGCAGGCTTTGAAAACCTGAGACTCTCTTCAGGAGAAGGAGAGTGGGTTTGTTTCTCTGGGCATAGGATAAAGGCACCACAATCTCACAGAAATGTGGCATCCACTGACATTCCATCTATAGGATTGTTTTCAGTCTGTACATACATACACACATATACATGAGGATATACATGTGTTTTTAAATATGTTGTAAATTCAGAAACTGAAACAATCTGCAACACATTTTCAATTTATTAAAAAAAAAAAAAAAACAGATCAGAAAAGACAGTAACTGCGCCCGAGCTGGAAATAAAATATATATAAGTCTTATTAAAGACCAAGCAGAATTCCCTGTGCATACAGACTTATAGAAGGCTTTCAGGGAATTAAAGGTTATCTTTAGCATTTCAATTGTTATTTTGGATTGTAAAAAAATGTATTTAACAATGATCAGAGCTGGCAGTCACGCTAGTAATTTGATATACATTAACAAGTGATGTGTTAAAGGGAAAGCTCTGATGTAAAATTTTACAGAAATCTTCATCTGTTGCAGATTATCATATAAGTCACAACTGTATTTTCTGTTTATATTCCTTCAAGTCCTTACATTTATCATGGAATGATAAATTAAGCTGGATGTAGCTGTTGAAAGCAAAGAAAATCCTTCATTGTCAACAAAGGATTTACACAAACATTTTCAACCTGATCCTTAGATCCTGTAGCTCAAGATATTATTACTACTTTCAAGAACCATGTGAAGGATTTTCCTGTGTAAAAGAAAATGTAACCTTGTGAATAACAAGTAAATTATGGGATATTTGTATTATGGTAGTAAAGTCTGGGGTTTTTTTATGTATAGCACTGTTCTCACAAATTATGTGCTTTGCTACATAAGTTCCTCCTAATTATAAAAATGGTTTTTCCAGGTAAAAATAAGTGCAGCTGTTCTAAAATCTGTAAAGATACACATAAACTGTTCCTTCACTTAACAGAATAATACTTTGAAAGACAATAATTAAAAAATTAAATAATTAACTATTGTGCTTTTCAGTGTACCAGTTCAATAAAAAGCAGTCATACAAATCTTTCAGGATTTCAAAGAGTGTTTTGATTGCTTTAAATGATGCACATCTTGAAATTCAAATGAAGTAGTGATGCAATTTTAATTGAGCAATTAAAATAATTTTTCATGGTTTCTAAATGGATTAGCTCTAAAATTACTTGTCTACTGAAAAAACACTTCTGCAGTGCAGTTACCCGATATCACATTTCCAGACAATGCCTCCTTTGTCATCTTGTCCTGTTTCTCCTTCTCCTTCAAATGTTTACTGAACACAGCTGCCTTTTGAACTCATTTACTGAAAAGAATTTATACGTCTGTTTAGTACTGTTCAAAACCTTTCCTTTAGTAAATCTGCAACAGAATTCCTGTTACAGATAAATAACATTTAACTCCAGTACACAATGCAACACTTGGGGTGTTTGAAATTAACAACACATTCCATATTTTGTGCCTTATCCTTGAGCCCATTTATAACACAATTCCCTTGGATTATAACACAATTCCCTTGGAATAGAAGGAATTACAGTATCATTAGAAATTTACTGCAGCTCAGAACTACCGATGAATTGAAGAACACGGTTGAAACTCAGACTTGGAGAAATGGATAGCAATGATAAGCAGTTACTTCAGTTCCTTTCTGCAACACATTTCTTCATGGAACAAGCTTTCTTTCACCTACTGAAGCTTTTTTCCCCCTAAATTATACTAGCAAAAGCTTGTGCTTAAAGAAAATATTTACTATGATGTTCACCTCTAGATCTTTCCTTATTCAAAGTAAAAATAAGGAAATTTTCTCTCCCTGATGTGAAGCACAGTGGCCAAACTCTTCTGCTGGAAATATTGGCAAAAGGAGGATAGAAACTAGAAACTGAAATTCTGAATTTTCAGTGGTACTGATATGAAAGAAAGCCTTAAAAAAATTCTGGAAACTGGAAAACTGCTCCCCCTCAATGTATTAGAAGCTTCACTGTATCCTGTTTCAGAAATTAAATGTGTTCCTAGCTATCTGGGGTGACTGGGTGAAACTATCAGTGACTACTCTGAAGTTATATGGTTGTATACATTATTCCATGCATTTTCTCATACAAATGCTCCTATTTTTGTGGTTTAAAATTCACATACTTCTTCACTACTTCAAAACATGTCTCTAAAAGCCTGTCCTATGTGCATAATTCTTTGCTTTGAATGTTCTGGTTGGTCTTTCAGAAGAAACTGGTTACTGTCAATTGAATATAATTATATTGAAAAATATCCACTCTGAGGCTAGTTGTTTCAACAAATTATTTATCTGATGATTGCTTTAGTTATGTTTGTGTCCCTTATCTGTTTAGATAGTGAGGTGTCCAGAACTACATTTTATTTTGCATTTATAAGGTATTCATGTAATGAGTGATCAACTGCTATGTGAGCCTCTTTGCAGTGCCAAGATATAAAGTGAGTGAAAAGCACTAAGTTAATAGGAGGACTCCAGGGAATGCTATTCCTATTCCCTATTCCTGTTTAAAAGCATGAGAAAGAGACAGCTTCATGAAAACTGGTCCTTACAATCTAATATGGTGATTAAGCCAATGCTACACAAAATGGAGACAGTAACTTGGTCTCCTTCCTCTATTCTGCCCTTATTTGCATGAAAAACCCAAATGTATTTTGGAGCTTTCTCTCTGTCTATTAAATTTATTGAAACAAGCCAACGGGTTTAAAAGTTGCTGGCTGGATTAGTGACAGAGGGACACAGCAGGATTTCCTCAGGAAGTCAGGCTTATCAGACTGTTTAAAATAATAAAAAATGAACTACATTTAATTTTCAATTTGCATTGTATGAAACTAAATAAAATGGTTGCAGAAATGACTCTTTTTCACTCTTTATGATTTTACTCCCCTCCCTCCTTTCACACGAATAGTTTCAATTTCCCTTCTGAGATTATTTTTTCTCAGATTGTCATCTTGGCAACTATTTGAACTAATTCTTTAAAAATCACACTTAAGATATTTCTTACTTATTTTCCTATATAAATATGTGAAACATTAAAATGTAGTTTCAGTATATATTTCTGTGGCTTGTTTTAGTTTTACTGTAAAAGTTCCACAAAGAGAATTTCTTTTGGGCTGGAATGCTGACTTTCCTGTCATAAAATGATAAAATATGGTTCAATGTATGCTGCCTTATACTATTTTGGATATAAGGTTAATTTTCAGGTAACACTTAATCATACAGGTATTTACCAAAATATGGAAAAATTAACTATCTTCAGCCACATTACTATTGTTATTTGTAGTTCAACAAACACTGTTCTTATAAAACTCTTACGTTACAACCGTAATTACCTAATGGACAACATTACCAAATGTGTCAGATTGTTTTAATTAAATTGAGTATAGGGGTACTTCCTTTTCACCTACTCTGTCATTATTTAGCCAAAGAAAACACATTTAATACTGTCGGATTTCCATCATAAATCCTTTCCTTCAGTTTTGTAATTTTATTTGTACCATTCTCTGAATTTCCTTTAAATCTTTAAATATTTCTGCTATATTTTTTCTGAGAACAAAATTTAATTTTAGGTGCATGATCTTGTCATCACAATAAAGAAAAGGATTCTTTTTCATAAATATGCAATATCTGAGCACCAATGTAATTTTAATTACTGTCACAGCTCTGCCTTTTAAATATGTTCAGCACTGTAATTCTTAATTTCTCAGTGCTCTTCAGTCTTAACAGAATGCTAAGAGTGTAGAGTTCACTTTCCACCTCCATGCCAGCTGTTCCGTCGCCTTATTTCTCTTTTCTTTTTTTTTCATAAAGGTAAGCAGATGAGAAGAGGGTCATGGCTGAACTTACCAAGAGTTCGGAAAGGTCTTTGGTTTGGTGTATGGGAGAAGAAACCAGGTTTCAAAGCATTTGTGATCAAAATGTCAAAATACTCTTCGAAATCGTTCCTAGAAAGTAAAGGAAATTTGATTAGTTAAACTAATGAATTAGCTAACTACTAAATACTCTTTAAGACTTAAGAAAATATCAAAGCACTTCTTTAAGGCACTTGCTTCTATCACATTTATTTCCCCAATACTTGTTCCATGTCACTATTGCCCACCTTTCCCTGAGGTTGTCAAAAGGGAGTCAAACCCACAGTGCTGTATCTTTGAGATCACTCATTATTAGTAAAAAGACATTCCTCGATCTCAGAAGAACATGTAATAGCTGACATATCTTAATTTCAGATGGCAATATATGCATAGATATACACAGAAAGATATAAATGAGGGACTTTCTTCGCAAAGAAGAATATATGAAGTGAAGCGATGGGATAGGAAGCAACTGAAGTCACTTAAACACAGGTGCTTATATGGTTGGTATCCATAATGTAGGTTTGCACAGGTCTAATGGGTATCTAAGATACCACTGGCAGACATCAGAGATCTAATTAACCAAGTCAATGAAGTGTGGTTTCACATACCCTAAAGTTGAAATGCCATTTTGATAGCTGAACTCCTTCTTCAGACTCCACTGGCTGCTCTCACTAAATCCCTGCTGGTTACAGGGAGGTTAGACATGTTAGGTGTTACAAATAAACACCTACCAAGTTTGAGTCTTAATCTGCCAGCTGAATCCCACTACTAAATTCAGGTTTTTCAAAGCTCATTAGATCCCTATAAACAAATTGGTATTTGAACTGTGGAAATCCCATCAATTTAAATGAGATTGAATGTTTCAGCATGGTATGTAACAAAATGTAAACATCTCTCCTCTATGATGTATTTTATTTTATTAGAATTGTTTCATTGCTTAGGTGGCTTTATTGCCTATAACAGACAAAAATGATGGATACTCTTGCACGGAAAAAAGAAATCACAGATGGCAAGTTGAGGATGGCCATAGGCACTGACATGCTGCATTGGGTCTAGCTGAGTTGGAGTTCATTTCCTCATAGTAGCCCTCATGTTGCAGAAAAACATGTTTGTATGTTTTGTGTGAGGAGATGTGTTATCTGTGGCCTTTTTTGAAACATATTAAATCTCATGTACAAAGCTACTAGTTTTATGAGAGACGTGTTACATTACTGTGTAACAATACACATAAATCAAATCTGTTCCAGTTACTACCTGGTAGAGTGGCCTGTGGTTACAGCAAACAGCTAAGACAAAGGGTAGGATGTATCTCACATTAACCATCTAAAAATTGCACACTGAATTCACAGATAGTGATTGACACCACAGACAGAGCCAATGGAGAAACAGTCACATTCTTAGAAGGTAATTCATCCCACTCGTTTCAGACATAATTCTACCATACAGAATGAATTGCCAAGGATATGCCCAGTGTTTTCTCTCCAGTAACCACAGAGGGAAACGAAATGACCAGCTTCAAAAAATTTTCAGCTTTTAGATGGCTAACATTCCTGAAAAGTGAAATGACTCCTGACTTCAGTGACTATGTGATGATTGACTCGTCTTTAGGTGTGCTCCTGCCAACACTTACACATTCAGTTAAGCGGACAAGCATTCTCATGACAGGTAAGACTGAAAAGTCACACCATGATGCTCCTTGTGTGAATGAACTGGCACTTGCTTCTGTAGGTTTACATGCCTTATACACTGGTCCCAGCAGTATGTGTGTGCTCTGGCTGGAAAACAGTTCTAATTTTATTTCAAAATGAAATTTTCTCTTACACTTCCTCTCCCTACCAAAATGTCTTTTAGCTAAGGACAATTTGGCCAGATGAACACAACTGGGATATTTTGATTATTAAATGGGTAAATGATACACTTAAGCATGAATTTCCCAGCACAGATTTTATGAAGACAATAACTTCTTAGCCAAAAAGGAACTTAAAAAAGTGCAAAAAAGTAAACAGCTACAAGGTAAGGATATTAGGAGTAGGAGGCTAAAATTTATCTCTGTTTATCATTAGGTTTTTTTTTATTTATTACTATACAGTTTTGGACTTCTCAGTATCACATTGCTTAACTGAAAGAACAAGGGTAGAAACTAATAAAGGACTATGTAGATGCAATTAGTAAGGGCTGATGTAAAGAATAAAATGCAGTTAGCCTGGTCAAATTAAAGTTAAGGGCAGAGATAATAGGTGTGAACCTAAACTATATTCCAGTACAGCAAAAAGCAGCACAGGTAAGTAGAGTCTTTTTGTCCGATACAAGAGGCATGGAACAAACAAAACTAATAAAAGCTTAGATTTTTAGGAAAAAACTCCACTTCAGTAATGTCTAATGGACAGTGGAGTACTCCAGAAAACACTTGGAAGCCACACTGCATGAGTCACTGGAAAACACGATTCTAATAAATACCACAGAACATCCTACACTTATGTGGAAAGAGAGTGATGCAATATCCTTCTAGCAGAACATCTCTTTGTCATTCGAAAGGTAATTGATCGGCTCTGATACCTAGCAGGATTTCTACAGCTGCCTGAAACAGCTGAAACACTATTCACCAAGGAAAAGAAAGTCAAAATCAGTATATGAGGCCAAGAAGTTACTTTTATACCGAATTTTCATTTAGAAAACAGCTAGACCGGTCTACACAAAAGAGTTAATTCACAGGCATCTTACTCATAAGGAGAACTGCTTTTTGTGAGGATGTAGATTTACCCTTCAAACGAGTAAGTATAATGTTCATGTGAGGCAGTGAGAACTGGCACAGTGAATGCTTCATTTAGCATTTAGCCTAGAGAGTACAAAAGGGAAGTGATACTGGCAGGACTGGTTTTGGAGGATAGCTCTGTTTTTTACCTCACCACTTGTTTTCTTACTATGTTGCCATATTCACTCTGCTGACCCCTGGCATATCCTGTGTTAGCCAATGTTGGCTCACATTGAAATACTTTGTTTCTTAGATTAATAATAAATTAATAGTCTCACCCTGTCACCCACCTAACTATTTGCATCACTGATTAATTTTTTTCTAGGTGTGTAAGTGATGATTCTATTGAATTTCACTGAATTTGACTTGACCAGTTATGTTCTTTACCTTACACTAAAAACAGCTGTTGTGATCAGCAACTACGATTTCAACCAGTTGCCAAGTGCAAAGAACTGCCTGTTTTATCTTTTCTGCTGTGATCTGTAAATGCACATTTCCCACGCACAGCCGTCTTTTGGAAACCACCAATAGAAGAAGTATTTGTAAGCTTTTTCTGCGGATTTGCTACAAGGAAATGAAATAGTACTACTAGCTGCACTTACTGCTGGAGAAGCACAGAAAGGAAGCGGCTTAAATAAGACAGTCTAGCAAAAGTTTATGATAAAACTGGGATTCAGATGATGTACTGCGTGTTGGCCTGACATATTCAATCCCATAGTGATGCCCTCAAAAAGATGCAGCATATAAGTGTGCTGTGGGTCAGATACAGCTCACAGGCTCAGAGATGCACGATTTTGTCTCGACTACCCTGTCACACTTTATCAGAAAGGGGCCCACCAGAAATCTCAGAACCAAATAATTCACAATACTTTAAGAAACTCCAATTAGCTTCCCAATAGCTCAGGCTTATCTCCAGTTGCTGTCTGGCAGATATAATTTGAAATGGACCTTGCACTTACCCAAGAACATGTTCACAGAGGAGCCTGCAATAGTCACTGTGAGAACTTGTAATTAATAGCAGAATCTTCCCAGCATTTTTTAGTTGTTTCAGCCACTTTTTTACAGACTCTGGACATCTCTGTAAATATTTGTCTGGATGATTTTTCACTTCTGGGAAATATGTCCCACAGTCTTCTAAAAAAATTAAAACATAATTATGTTATCCAATCCTGCTCACAAACCACTTAATCCACACAACAAATATTCTTTTATGTGCAGACAACAAATTTAAAAAAGGTAAAGAAAAGTTTAATATTTTCCCTGGGCTGTAACGCAGTATTAACCAAAAAAATCCAATTGAACCAAGAGAATATGCTGTAGCACAAATAAATTTGCATGACTTTTCTCCTTTATTTTGGAATTGTCATAGTTATTTTGTTTGATGTTCTTTTGCTCATAACAGTTAATAATACAGAATTTACAGATTATAGTTTTATGCAGGAAATAATTATTTCTTGTTGTCTTTGCTCAATTTTTGGATCCTCAATTTGTGATTGTAAAATGAGTTTACTGTTTAGACGGTGGTAAGGACCTAAAATTCCCTTTACCTAACACCTTTCAGTTACTTCTGACACTTTAGTTTAGCACTGTCCGATCAATACCATTCATTTTGTAATTTTTGTATATTTCACCAATAGCACTTCATCTATGAAAGACTCATAAAACTGGCAAAGATTCATAAGTATTTTGAATACTAGGAACAGATGCAAAAACCCCCTGAGTTCCAATTCCAGCTTCAATAATGTTCTTTTTGCCAAATGAAGCTGTAATAGAATTTTGCAAATACACTTGGAATGTAAGATTTCTACAAGTGTACAACAACACTAACTTGGCAGTAAAAGTTACCTATTCATTTAAGTCATCAATAAATATTTATCTTATTATAGCCCATAGTTGCTTTACCAAGATTTCAAATGAAACTTACCTATGTATTTCCTCTCAAACCCTCTATAACCAAAACTGTCAAGCTAGTTAAAGGTTTAAAAAGAAATATAATAATTGCAGAGACAGAAACGATACCAAGTATTTGGCTCTCAGTCTGTCTGTGTTATAGTATAATGAACATCATCACAGATTATTTTTCTTCCAGCACTTGTTCTATATGCAACTGTCTGTGGTCAACTTTGCTGAATGATTTAATAAATCCCAGACATTACTTAGCCTTCTGGTATGTGAGTAATGCTGTTCTGTAGTTTGAAAAAATAAGATTTAAACCACTTGAACTTTAGCTATTTAATGAAAGAGAACATGTATGTTTGAACCACTAGTATCAAAGAAAGACTGAAAGATGCTAAACATAACACTCTTTCATATATTACACAATCAAACATCTACAGATGGCAGGGAACAAAAGTCTTCCAAAAGAAGTTTCAAATTGGCTGTTATCCCTGCAACTAGATAGAAGCAGAATATTCTGCACTACGACTTGACAGATTTCTTCCAAAAAAGTGGACTACTATGTCTGAGGAAAGTCTCAAACAAAATCTCCCAACTCACAACCATGTCACTATTCCAGTTCTTCATTGTATTTAGGTCAGGCTGTGTAACAGCATGTACCAGTGGAATATGAGCCTGTTCCTGCAGCCAGCATTATGGGATGCCATGACATTTGCCTTGAGAGCTAGCCAAGAACAATGATTTTTTTGATTAAAGAAAGCAGGTTGACAAAGGAAGGTTTCCTGTTCTGTTTTCCCTCCTTCTTTCCTGAGGCATGAATATTGTTTGGGATGAGCAATAGAGTTTCTAGGAGCAGAAACTGCATTTTTTTTCAGTATTATCCTTTGTAATTATATTTTATATGCTATGCTATGACAATTTTTCTTCTTTGGTGTTTTGGAAAGCATATAACATTAGATGAGAAAGAAGGGGGACACAAACAAAGCAGGTTTGGCATTAACTCTCACAAGTTCAAACAATTAAAAGAAAGATGGTAAGGTTCATTTATATAACCAGTGACCTACACTCTTTTTACTCTCAAACAAAAAGATCTGTTTTATATGGACTTTACTCTTGGACACTCTGTTTTTCTTTCCTTATGAAGTGCCTTCCATCCTCCATGACCATTCTTTGATGCACAATTTAAAGACTTTCAGTTAATTTAATCAACACTGTCCTCTTTGTCCAAAATCCATGCAATATCTTCTATGTGATAAATTTATTATATTTGGCCTTTGAATACCATCTGCACTGGAAAAGGCCAACAACTCTGAATTCAACACATGAGCTGAAAGAGAGTCTTATTCTGGCTTTCTATCCAGGCCCCGAAGCCCAGCTGTTAATTGAAGACAAGCAATGAATCAGTTCTTGACACTGGGATCTGAAGTTTGCCTCTGGGCTGTTTGCCATATTAGGCAGAGGTAGCTCAGAAGAACCCTCATTAAAGCATACTCTACTGTAATTAGGCAAGCGTGGCCCAGGAAAGTAGAGTTTGACTTAATTCCTAACATACCTACTGCATCTGGTGAAGACAGTTGGTGGAATACATAATTATATCTGTAAATAAGTTTAACCAACAAAACCTGCAAGATTTGATTAAAAGCCAAATAAAAGCTGAAAAACTTGCTAGTTTTGAGGAGTACAGAAGAGCCATAGGCATCTTGTTGGCAAAAAATGTTGTGAAAGCTTTAACATGTGATGCAGAAATAGCATCATGTCAAAACTTCAAAATAAATGGAATGATTTGCTAATGACAAAGTAAGCATTGTTTTCCCAGTATGCCATATGCTGCACTTTGTTTTTCTATATCAGGCAAACCATAAAAATCAGAAGAAAACTCTATCAAGCAAAGCATCAGTGAGAAATTAGAAGAGAATTAATTGTAACAGAGCCAACAGAGGAAAGGCAAAAGTGAGTTAATAGTAATGACTTCTATGCAACTTGCATACAGCTTCACTCTTGAAAAAGGAAACAGTAATTCTTCAGAAAAACACCATTCTTGAGAAATAAGAAATTTCTCTAGGTTGCAATATTTCCCTGATAATGCTTATGGGCCATCCAAATGGCAAAATACTCTTAAAAATGAAACTATAAGCACGCTTTAGAAGTTTCGTTGGTCCACAAATTCACTGTATCAAAATGAGGGATTGTTGTCACCACCAGATATACAACTGACAGTTTGCTATCAGTATAGTGCCTAAAATAAAATCTCTACATTTTTGTCTCTCTGTTTTGTGAATATCACTTAACATACACCTTTATGGACATTGACATGTATTAATGCATGCCCACAAATCAGTGAAAACAAAACAGTAACAAAACAACTGTCTCAACTTTCACCTCAAAGTCTGTTGTTTGGAGTTACCTTCAAGCATGTCAAAGCCTACACGAGTAACCTCTGGCTCTTTGGCAATGTGAACACTTACTATATGAGAAAGTATTTAATAAATAAAATTGAAACAAGAAGACCATGACAATCAACATAACAATCAACATATTTACACCCTGTGATTTTATGAGAAAATCCAATGACATGGAGTGGAGCAGGAAATCAAAATCTAAGCATTTTATGCACAGCTTTGGAATTTATTACATATATATATGTTGCCACAGAGCAAATGCAATTTTTTTCAATTTTCATTCTTGTTACTAAACAACTTGGAGTTTATCTGAAATCTCTGAAATAGAGCCTGGGATAGCAAATTATCAACTAGCCTCTGTAGGCACTTATAATCATCTTCCAAATACACTTTCAAAAATAATAATTGCCTTTGCAGTCCATTGAGTATCCTTTCAGAAAAATATATTTCCTTTTTAAGCAGAAGATAGAAATATAAGCAATTAAAACGAGTTGTCTAGAACTGCTACATATTAAAGTCCTGCCAAAGCCTCTAATCAGGTTGACATCCTGTTGTATTTTCAAAGCAATATAATTTATTTCTTCTATGTATATTATCAGAGGCTCCCTTAGTGTCCAGTTTGGAGTTTATTTTTTCTTGTATCATCTGACATTGTAATTTAATCAGGATGTTCTTTGCATAGTCTTGCCTTGCAGTTTAATTGCACCTAACATAGTTGTGATGGCAAGTGTGATGGGGATTATATATAGCTGGAAATGCAGAACCCCCAGACCAAACTCAAAAAGAGCCTGTACAATGCTTGTCGTGACTTCCAGCACAGACAATAATCCAGTCCTTAATCCAACCGCCCTATTCTGTTACAGTTGCAAAATTACTTTATTGAGGTATGCAGTTCGATGTTTTAATATAATATCTGTATTTGTGGAAAAAATAATTGTGGATTTCTCTTGTGCTCTGTATTATACCACTTCTCCTTGGCAGGATCAGTTTACACCTACTGGCTCTGGACTCCTTTGGACTCAATGTTTGTAAATGCGCACTGCCAGGACACTGCAGTTTTCATCCCTTAACTATTATCTGGATTATAAAATGGGCAAATGTTCAAGAGGCACGTTTCTGGCAAGATTTCAGTCCAGAACTAAAACACAGGAACACAGGGAATTTTTGAATATTGTCACTACTTCTAAGGGGCACCTACTTGATTGAATTAAAAGTAATTTATCCGCTACTTACATGATTTAGCTAAGCAGAGAGGTATGAGGCTGAAAAAAAGTCCCTAGAATTCAGCCAAGAAAAATAAACTTTCAGCTGCCAATTAGTAGCTTGTATTTAGTGGCTTTAACAATCTCTTACAATGGAAGTATTATTTGAGAATGTGACTTTCTTTCTTTTAAACTCCAAGGCAATATGATAGCTTAGCTATCAATACCCATAGCCAGATTCTCTGTAGCTCTGACACCAGCAGGAAGCTCTTCTCTAATTTTTATCTGAATGCAGGCTTGTCGGTAACAGTTATCGATTTGACTGACAGAGTAAAGCTGCAATAATGTGTTACAATCAGCAATGATACAGACAACTATATTCACTGTATATTGCTATACCCCCCATCTTACTGTACTTCAGGTTTTTAGAGTGAAGAGACACCTTTTTGACCATTGTTGCTGTCTTTTTCTCTTGTCCAAATAAACAAATCTAACAAGTATCATGAGCATTCAACAGAAACACAAGAAAAATACCTTAATCACAGAAGGTTCTGCAAAAGAATTTAAATTTAATCTAATGCAGGCAAGTAGAGGAGAAAGGGGGTGATGGTTAAAATTACATTAGACAAATAGTCTT